ACCAGGGGCTCCGGTCAGCCCATCACGCCCAGGGAACCTGGCATTCCTCAGGGGCCAATGGGACCTGCAGAGAGAAGGAGACAGGGATGTTGTGTGATCTGTCACCAAGACGTGGTGGGGCTAGTGAGACTAGATCTCATTGTCACCTGGCTGACTCACCTGTAGGCTCTGGGGCACTTTGAAGATCGGACTCCTCAGGGTGCTCAACCCTAGGCCCCAGGAAATCCACCCTGTCCTGCCAGCAAGACTCTTGGCCCAGCCTAGAGTCCTGGACCAGACGGCCTTCCTGGGAAAATAGAATCCTGTCCCTGGCTGAGCGTCGTCTCCAACACATACCTGGAGGTCAGGTCTCCTTTACACCGTCTCTCCCGTTCCTCTGCCCGGCAGGCCGTTGGGATTCCAGGATGCCGGGGACACGGCTTCGACACAAACATCCTTCACATCACTCACAGTGCTGGAACGCCACAAGGCGAGGGTGAGGGCCAGGGGCACAGCAGCATGGCTCGGCTCTGCCGTTCTCCTCGGTTGAGGCCGTCAGCCCACCTGCAGCACTTGCAGTGCTGCCCTCTGTTTTTGTCGGGACCAGATCAGGGGAAGCCAGGGCGCCTGACGGGAGTGCGGGGAAGACCCAGACTCCCCACGAGAATTCCCAGCATCATCTGGTATCCAGCAGTCTCATGCCTCTCGCTCAGTGAGGGGCGGTGTGGCCCCGCAGGTAGAGGAGGGTGAGTAAGGGTCTCTGGGGTCAGAGGGCTGGGTTCTAAGGAGCCTCTTCTCTGTTGTGCCTCCCTGTGGGCCCCGGGAACTCCTCCACCTCTCTGACTTCAGCTGAGTCTTCTGTGCTCCTCGAGACATACCTGGCTGTCCCCCTCCCCCAGGCTGTTAGGAAGGGTGTGGTCCACTCACGACTCTGTCTGTCTCTACTCTCAGTGACCCCTTTTCAGTTCTAAGGGATCGGCCTGAGAATAAAAAGGCGTGGACAGGACCCACAGCTCAAAGGTGGTCAGTCATGGGACCCCTCCCCCTTCTCCTTGGGGGCTATTTGTCACTCCCACGCAGGCCTTGCTGACCCGTGGGACTCGGACCTGGCCAGGGAACACAGTATAAGGAATATTGCAGTCTGTCTTCCTGCACCCACATGTAGAGTGCGCGCAACCCCTCCAGGGGGCAGGGGAGGCCCCTCAACTCCCAGCCCAGGCCGCAGTTAGGCCGTGCTCGCCGGGCTGGCTTCTCACGCTGCGACCCCAGGCGCTGGAGAAGACCAGGGGAATGGGCCCCCACTGCACCCTCACATACAGAGCCCCCAGCTATCGCGGGCCTCTGCCTCCACGTCAGAGTGGCAAAGTGGACAGCACCCATTTATAGGGATGTGGCGCCAGGCTTCCTGCCACCCTGGAGAGGCCCTGTCGCAAGGCCCCTACTCCAGGAGGGCAAGGCGAAGCAGGTCTCATGTACACAGCTCATTTCCCCAAAGCACACCAGGCTGGAGGACACTAGGACCCTTGAGGGGAGCAAGAGCCGCCTAAAGATGAAGCTCGAGGCTGTAAGAAGGGAAATCTCCCACTGGCTGAGGGCACCCACCCTGCCCTAACCGAGTCCTTGGTGGAAGATGCAGAGCCCTCACCCAGGCACTCATGGGGGTCCTTTGCTTCCTGGTTTGTTCCGAAGGGATAGATCCGCAGCTCCCGCTGAGTGTGGTCAGGTTGGAGCCGATCCAACACGACTGCCCTGCGTGAACCTGGCCCACCCTGAGCCCCAGAACCTCCAGCCCCCCTCTGAAGCCTGCACCGAGCCCGGGCCTGGGAAGGGGCCAGGTAAACGCACTGCAGCGTCTGCAACACAAAAGGTTGAATATGTTCTCCTGCACCTATGTTGACAGTTTTCATCATGAAAGAGTTAGAAATTTTGGTCAAATACTTTTTCTGCATCTATTGAGTAACTCATATGGGTTTTTCTCCTTCATATCTGTTCATGTAATGCTTCACATTTATTGATCTGCATATGTGAATCATCCTTTTATCCTGGGATAATACTACTTAATCATGGTGCATCATCGTTTTTTGAGGTATCTGTTGATCTGTTAGCTGGTATTTTTGAGGATTTTCATACTTATACGTTCCCCCGCATATTGGCTTGTAGTTTTCTTTTTGTTGTTGTGAGTCCATATCTGGTTTTGGTATCAGGATACCATGCTTGGCTTGTGGAATGACTTTGAAGATCTTCCCCTTAATTTTTGGAATAGTTTTAGATACTTGGTGATTAGCTTTTGAAAGTTTGGTAGAATTCAGCAGTGAAGCCATCTTGTCCTCACTTTTCTTTTTTGGAGCTTTTTATTGCAGAGTCAATCTTGTCTGTATTGATCTTTCTATATCTTCCTAGTTCACTTAGTAACCTGTGTTTCTGGAATTTATCCACTCTTCTCTAGGATAAATTTGCTGATACTAATCATAATAGTCTCTAATGGCTTTGTATTCTGTGATGTTAGTTTGTAATATTCCTTTTTTCAATTTCTGATTTTATTAACTTGATCTCTCTCTTTTTCTTAGTCTACCTATGTTTGTAGATTTTGTTATTTTTTCAAAAACAGACTTTTCATACATTTATCTTTGTACTTTTTCCCCAAGCTCCATTTTGTCTATGTCTGCTCTGATCTTTATTATCTCTTGCTTTCTACTAATTTTGATTTTTTTCTTGTCTTTCTAGTCTGGATGATTATTAGGTGGTTTATTTGAATCTTTCTATTTTTGATGGAGGTGTTTAATGCTATAATCTCCTCTCATACTGCTTTTATGTATCCTAATAGGTTTGTCATATTGTATTCTACTATTTCAATTTTCAAGACATTTTTAATATCTCTTAATTATTCATTGAGTCATTGGTTGTTCCTAAGCATGTTTTTAATTTCAATGTTAATTTGTACAGTTTTCAAAATTCCCCTTGTTATTGATTGTCAATTTTTCATTTTTTAATTTGTGCAGTTTTTTTGATGTGTGTGACTAACATATGGTTATCCTAGAGAATATTTAATATGTGCTGAGAAGAATGTATATTCTGCAGCTGTTGGTTGAATGCTCTGTAAAAAAAAAAAAAATGTATGTTAGCCCCTTGGTCATAGCAAGTTTAAATCTAATGTTTCTTTGCTGGTGTTGCTTCTAGACATCTGTCCAATGTGGAGAAAGATGTTGAAGTCCCTAACTATTACTATTTGGAGTTATCTCTATCTTTATACATAATATTATGCCTTTATATATCTGGGTCTCCAGGGTTGGGTGCATATATATTAATTGTTATATCTTTTGCTGAATTGATCCTTTATCATCATAAATATGACCTTCTTCCTATCCTCTTTTAACAACATGACTTAAGTCTATTTCTAATCCAGTACAGCTTGCTCCCTGCCTTACTTTTGGTTTCTGTTTGCCATGGATTATCTTTTTCTATTCCTTACTCAGTCTTTATAGGGTTTAGTAAATTCCTGCGTTAGTCTTTTTTTATCCTTTCCATCCGAAGTCTACATCTTTTTTTTTTTTTTTTTTTTTTTTTTTTTTTGAGACAAGAGTCTCACTTTGTTGCCCAGGCTAGAGGTGGAGCTGCCGTGGCCATCAGCCTAGCTCACAGCAACCTCAAAACTCCTGGGGCTGGGAGTGATCCTTCTGCCTCGGCCTCCCAGGTAGCTGGGACTACAGGCATGCGCCACCATGCCGCTAATTTTTATATATAAATATTAGTTGGCCAATTAATTTCTTTCATTATTTATAGCTTGAGACGGGGTCTCGCTCTTGCTCAGGCTGGAAAAAAAAAAAAAGAGAGAGAGAGAGAGAGAGAGATGAGAAAACATCAATTTTCAGAAGCTTAAACTATCTATTAAAGTAGGGAATGCAGAGTGTCCCTGACTTATGATGATTTAACTTAAAATTTTTCGACTTTACGATGATTGTAAAGTGATACTCACTTTACAATCACTTTAGTGAAAACTGCACTTCAAGTGCCCATACAATAATTCATTCACCGTCACTACAGTATTCAATGAATTACACAAGATATTCAACACTTTATTATAAAATAGGCTTTGTGTTAGATGATCTTGCCCAAATGTAGGCTAATGTAAGTGTTCTGAGCACGTTTAAGGTAGGCTAGATTAAGCTATAATGTTTAGGAGGTTAGCTGCATTAAATGCATTTTCAATTTATGATATTTTCAACTTACTATGTGTTTATTGGGACACATCCCCATGGTAAGTCAAGGAACACGTGTGTATGTTTCTCCTTGTTTTGGGGGGAAGTTGGGAGGAAGGCTCAATAATTTGTGTTTTGGGTCCTAAGCACATGTGGCAGGATAATCAGATTAAAAATTAATATTCGTGAAAGAATGAGAAACAGTTCCCCTCATCCCATTCGGTTCTGTGGGTTTTGATCCAGAGCTTCCTTTTGCCCAAGAAAAGCAGTAAATGCCACGGATGGGGAGAGCATTCAAAGGTGTGAAGGTGGGAGGATTGGCAGCATTTCTGGAGATGGGGCACACCTGTGGTTGCCTCCTCAAGCGAGTAGAGATGTGGTCCCATTCCTATGCAGCCCTGGGGGTGTGGGGAACAGTCCCACTCTGTGCAGACCTGAGACTGGGGTGCTTCACCAAGGCCCTGAGTGCCACCACCACTGTTGGGCTGTGGAAAACATCCACGAGGCTGAGGAGGGGACAGCAGGTGTGATATCATCACCGACAAATGGACCATGAGGATTCAGACCAGGAGTTATCTTAACACCAGCCATGTACACTGATGCCCAGATGTTCCGCCAAATGTTTTCTGCAGCTCCTCGGCCCACTGTGCGATACGAAGGAGGACAGCAGGTCGCCCCTCCCACCAAACAAAGCAAGCACATCCGCAGGTTGAATTTTCCATTCTTCAGGCCGGTGGGGCCTGAGAGCCAGAGTTAATCTGATTTATAAAAAACACAGAAATGTGATATTTTTTTTCTTGGAATAAAAAGCAATGGACTCTAATATTAGCACATGTATGATTTATTACACTGAAATCATCTTTGTTCATTTCAAGGGTGGAGTGGTTAGGAGCGTGAGTTTCAGGTCCAGGCAGATGATAGAGCCAGCCTGTGCCACTTGCTCTTTGTAAATACTCAAAGCATTTAACGTCTCTAAACTTCAGTAGCCTCATATAAAAAAATGGGGAAAAAAACACCGGTCCCATGACATCGTGTAATGATTAAATAATGTTTAATAGGATGTGTTAGAAGTGGTTGTCAAAGTGCTTGGTACATAGTATGTGCTCAATAAATAGTTTCTGTTGGTAGTAACAGTTATGCTAATAATTTTGGTAGTTGGAGGGACGGTAATAATTGTAGCAGTGACCAGCACTTTATCCTCATTTTGCAGGTAAAGAAATAGGCTCAGGGAAAATACATGTCCCCAAGAGTCACAGGGTACCTTGTCCACCCCAAGAGACAGCCTAAGACCTGGCACACAGTTAATCTTAATGGAATATCTGATTGAATGAATTAATGAAAGGAGAAGACAGAGCCAGTGGTGTGGTGAGTGGTATGAACGTCCTACCAAGGCCTGAAGCGGTGCACGGATATGTCCAGCAGCAGAAAGTCACTTGGGTTATGTTTGGGGTGGAGAGCTCTTCCCTAGAGGCCTAGGCTGGCTGATTTTACGCCTGGGGGCTGAGTTGGCATCCAAAGATTCAGAGAAGTGAATCCTACATGTCATTCACTAGGGTTGGGTTGGCCACCACCACGCTGGGGCACCTCCTGGCGCTCTGACCTCATGGAGAGCTGACCAGGCATGCCCCAGAGACCTCAGAGTGCCAGATAATCTCGAATGTGTCCTGAGCTCCCCACATTTGGAATTCCCCATGAACCTGCCTATCTTTGTCATTGCACTTGCCCACGACTGCTCATTCTGGAGGGGACTGGGCAGGAGGTGGGCTGCAGAGGGAGTCAGGCATGTGTGATTTGGAAGGTCCTTCCATCCTGGGACCTCACTGCTGCCAGCTGTAAATGACGGAACTGGACAGGATGAGGGAGAAGGAGGTCTCCATGTCACGCCAAGGGCCAAAGTTAGGAGTGGTTCCCTTGAGTGCAGAGCTGAGGAGAGTGTCGAGGCTGATCAGCGATTATTGGGGAAGAGTCAGGGCACGTCTGGGGAATGCAGAGGCTAAGGATGCCTCCCGCTCTAACAGCTGCAGATACATTCTGTTGGAAAGGAGTTATAGCATCTCATAGACCATGCAGACCCTCAGGATGGAGGCTGAAGCAAGGCAGGATCCTCTGTCCTGGGGCCCAAGTGCCTCTCAGAACTCACAGATGGCCAGTCGGTACTGCAGGCAGTTCTTGTCATTCCACTGCCCGTCTGTGTACATCTCCACGCACTTCTCCTTGCCCCGACCCCTGGGCTCCCCTGGGTACCAGTTGGAATAGTTGACAGGGGCCCCGTTCAGGTAGCGGAAGTCCCCAGGGGTGGGGCCCTCGGCCAGGCCCAGGTAGGCATATGTGTTGTGCTTCTTCACGATGCTTGCAATGGCCTCGTTTTCCTCCGGACTCCTGGGGACAGCAATGTGGCCGCCTGCTCTGGCACATGACTCTCTAATGGCATCAAAATTGACCGCCTGCCCATTGGTGGAGAAGATCTTCTCTCCCACTGCCAGCACGGTGCCCTGCAAAGTGAGGACTAAGAGCAGAGGGTCTGGCTCAGCCCACTGACCTCTGTCCCTGCGTCCATCTCCCTCATTTGGGCTCTTGGCCATCAGGCTCGCTCCCTCTCTCCATCTCTGCTTCTCTCTGTCTTGCCTCCTCCAATGCTAGCTTCTAATTTCCCCTCTGTGCTCTCTCATCCATTCAAGCACCCATTTAACAGTTACTATCGCCAGAAACGGTGCAACGCCCTGAATTCAATAGAAAGCAAGATGGACAGGGAACTTGCTTTCCTAGGACATCAGGAGCCCATCATCTTATTTGCTGGTCTCCTCTGGGCCGTTCAAAGATGTAAGAAAAGGAAAGCATCATTCCGTTCCCTGGCACCTGCATGCCCATACTAGTCGGTTAGGTCTCTAAGTTCCAAGGCTGGTGCTGAGGATGAGGGGCCCTTGTGGGAGACCCCTTCCCCATGAGGCCCCAGGGGGTCCCCTTACCTCCCACTGACCGCAGGATTTGATGTCTGAGGTCCTGGAGTGTGGTTTGGAGCTCCTCATCCAGATAGGCTGGAAGCCCTGTGGAGAGACCCCGCCCCGGAGGAAGGCCAAGCCATCACAGATCCCACCGGCTGTCGAGCAGGGGTTTTGCCAGCTGCAAGCTGGAATTCTGTCCTTTATTTGTCCATACCCACTGCCTAGGCCCCAGGGTAAAAGGGTCCACGGGGCTGGAGTGTGCTTCCACACTCCCTACACCCCCATCCTTTAAGGCAGCTTTGCAGCTGCTCCGTCCCTCCTGGCTCCTCTTTCCGGATACGTCCCCTGCATGGCTGTCTGTCCCCCTCTGCAGGGATTCCTGGCTTTCTGGCCAGGCCCTGCCCCCACCCTCCACCAAGGGCAAATATGGTTGTCTCTGCGCTCTCCGGATGGACCTGGGTCACTGCTCAGAGCTGTGCAGCTCTCCTCTGCGTGTGGGCTCCTGATCGCTCATCTGCCTGGATCCCTGATCCACCAAACGCTGTGCACCTTTCAGAATGGCCCCGGTGCCTCAGTCCCAGGAAGTGCCCCTGCCACAGGGCTGGCCTCTTCCCACACCTGGCCCGGTGTCTGCCCAGCCGCAGTCATGATGCACGGAGCACTTTGTGTACTTGTCCATCCCTGAATTGTGATCACCCCACCCAGACACCTCTGATTCCTCTCCTCAACCTCATATTCTCTGACTTGGATTGAGCCGTATGCCCTGGGGGACCTGCTCACCTGGAGGGCCCCTGGCGCCAGGCTCCCCCTTTTCTCCACGCTCTCCAGCGACACCAGGGGCTCCGGTCAGCCCATCACGCCCAGGGAGACCTGGCATTCCTCCAGGGGGGCCCATGGGACCTGCAGAGAGAAGGAGACAGGGATGTGTGGGATCTGTCACCCAAGACTGGGTTGGGGCTAGTGAGACTAGATCTCCATTGTCACCTGGGCTGACTCACCTGTAGCTCTGTGGGCACTTTGAAGATGGACTCCTCAGGGTGCTCCAACCTAAGGGCCCCAGGAAACTCCCACCCTGTCCTGCCCAGCAGACTCTTGGACCCAGCCTAGAGTCCTGGACAGACGGGCCTCCTGAAAATAGATCTCTGTCCCTTGGCTGAGCGTGGGGTCTCCAACACATACCTGGAGGTCCAGGGTCTCCTTTGACACCATCTCTCCCGTCTCTGCCCGGCAGGCCGTGGGATCCAGGAATGCCGGGGACACCGGGGCTTCCGACACAAACATCCTTCACATCACTCACAGTGCTGGAAACGGCCACCAAGGCGAGGGTGAGGGCCAGCGGGCACAGCAGCATGGCTCGGCTCCTGCCGCTTCTCCTGCAGGGTTGAGGCCGTCAGCCCACCTGCAGCACTTGCAGTGTCTGTCCCTCTGTGTTTTGTCGGGACCCAGGAGCAGGGCAGAGAGCCAGGGCAGGCCTGGACGGGAGTGCGGGGAAGACCCAGACTCCCCACGAGAATTCCCAGCATCATCTGGTATCCAGCAGGTCTCATGCCCTCTCGCTCAGGCGTGAGGCGGTGTGGCCCCCGCAGGTGAGGAGGGGTGAGTAAGGGGCTCTGGGGGTCAGAGGGCCTGGGTTCTAAGGGAGCCTCTTCTCTGTTAGTGCCTCCCTGTGAGGCCCGGGAACTCGCTCCACCTCTCTGACTTCAGCTGAGTCTTCTGTGCTCTCGAGACAACCCTGAGCTGTCCCCTCCCCCCCAGGCTGTTAGGAGAAGGGATGTGGTCACTCACGACTCTGTCTGTCCCTCCTACTCTCAGTGACCCTCTTTTCAGGTTCTAAGGGATCACGGACCTGAGAATAAAAAGGCGTGGACAGGACCCACAGCCTCAAGGTGGTCAGTCATGGGGAGCCCCTCCCCCTTCTCCTTGGGGGGCTATTCTGTCACTCCCCACGCAGGCCTTGCTGACCCCCGTGGGACTGGACCTGGCCAGGGAACACAGTATAAGGATATTTGCAAGTCTGTCTTCCTGCACCCACATGTACGATGCTGCGCAACCCCTCCCAGGGGGCAGGGGGAGGCCCCCTCCTCCCCAGCCCAGGCCGCAGTTAGGGCCGTGGCTGCCGGGCTGGTTCTCACTGCCTGCGACCCCCAGGGCGCTGGAGAAGACCAGGGGATGGGGCCACACTCACCCTCACACAGAGCCCCCAGGCTACGCGGGCCTCTGCCTCCACGTCAGAGTGGCAAGGTGGACAGCACCATTTATAGGGATGTGGGCGGCCAGGCTTCCTGCCACCCTGGAGAGGCCCCTGTCGCAAGGGCCCCTACTCCAGGGAGGGAAGGCAGGAAGCAGCGTCTCATGTACACAGCTCATTTCCCCACAGCACACTCAGGCTGGAGGAACACTTAGGACCCTTGAGGGGAGCACAGAGCCTGCTAAAGAGAAGCTCGAGGTCTGTAAGAAGGGAAATCTCCCACTGGCTGAGGGCACCCACCCTGCCCCTAACACGAGTCCTTGGTGGAAGATGAGAGCCCTCACCCAGGCACTCATGGGGGTCCATTTGCTTCCTGGTTTGTTTCCAGAAGGGATAGAGTCTGCAGCTCCCGCTGAGTGTGGTCAGGTTGAGCAGGAGCAAACCGACTGCCCTGCGTGCAACCTGGCTCACCACTGAGCCCCCAGACCTCCCAGCCCCACCTCTGAAGCCTGCAGCCGAGCCCGGGGGGCTCCTGGGCAGAGGGCCAGGTAAACGCACTGCAGGTCCTGCAACACAATAGTGTTGAATATGTTCCTCCTGCACCTAATTTGTTGACAGTTTTCATCATGAAGGGATGTTGAATTTTGTCAAATACTTTTTCTGCATCTATTGAGTAACTCATATGGGTTTTCTCCTTCATTCTGTTCATGTAATGCTTCACATTTATTGATCTGCATATGTTGAATCATCCTTGTATCCCTGGGATAAATACTACTTAATCATGGTGCATCATCTTTTTGAGGTACTGTTGGATCTGGTTAGCTGGTATTTTGTTGAGGATTTTCATACTTACGTTCATCAGGCATATTGGCTTGTAGTTTTCTTTTTTTGTTGTTGTTGAGTCCTTATCTGGTTTTGGTATCAGGATAATGCTGGCTTTGTGGAATGACTTTGAAAGAACTCCTTCCCCTTAACTTTTTGGAATAGTTTGAGAATACTTGGTGTTATGTCTTCTTGAAAAGTTTGGTAGAATTCAGCAGTGAAGCCATCTTGTCCTCAACTTTTCTTTTTTGGGAGACTTTTTATTGCAGAGTCAATCTTGGTCCTTATTGATCTGTTCTATATCTTCCTAGTTCAATCTTAGTAAGCTGTGTGTGTCTAGGAATTTATCCATCTTCTCTAGGATAAATTTGCTGGAATATAATTCATAATAGTCTCTAATGGCCCTTTGTATTTCTGTGATGTTAGTTGTAATATCTCCTTTTCATTTCTGATTTTATTTACTTGGATCTCCTCTCTTTTTTCTTAGTCTAGCTAATGGTTTGTAGATTTTGTTTATTTTTTCAAAAAAACAACTTTTCATACCATTTATCTTTTGTACTTTTTTCCCCCAAGTCTCCATTTTGTCTATGTCTGCTCTGATCTTTATTATCTCTTTCTTTCTACTAATTTTGGATTTTTTTCTTGCTTTTCTAGTTCCTGGAGGTGCATTATTAGGTGGTTTATTTGAAATCTTTCTACTTTTTTGATGGAGGTGTTTAATGCTATAAATTTCCCTCTCAGTACTGCTTTTTATGTATCCTATAGGTTTTGGTATATTGTATTTCTATTTTCAAATGTTTCAAGACATTTTTAAATATCCATCTTAATTACTTCATTGAGTCATTGGTTGTTCTAAAGCATGTTGTTTAATTTCAATGTATTTGTACAGTTTCCAAAATTCCCCTTGTTATTGATGTCTAATTTTCATTTTTTTATTTGTTGCAGTTTTTTTGTGTGTGTGTGGACTAACATATGGTTTATCCTAGAGAATACTTTATATGCTGCTGAGAAGAATGTATATTCTGCAGCTGTTGGTTGAAATGCTCTGTAAATGTATGTTAGGTCCCTTTGGTCAATAGCACAGTTTAAATCTAATGTTTCTTTGCTGGTGTTCTGTCTAGACCATCTGTCCAATGTGGAGAATAGAATGTTGAAGTCCCTAACTATTACTATGTTGGAGTTAGTCTCTATCTTTATACATAATATTTGCTTTATATATCTGGGTGCTCCAGGGTTGGGTGCATATATATTTACAATTGTTATATCCTTTTGCTGAATTGATCCCTTTATCATCATATATGACCTTCTTTATCTCTTTTTACAACTACTGACTTAAAGTCTATTTTATCCAAGTACAGCTGCTCCTGCTTACTTTTGGTTTCTGTTTGCATGGATTATCTTTTTCTATTCCTTCACTTTCAGTCTTTATAGGCTAAGTAAATTTCCTGCAGTTAGGTCTTTTTTTATCCTTCCATCCAGTCTACATCTTTTTTTTTTTTTTTTTTTTTTTTTTTGAGACAGAGTCTCCACTTGTTGCCCAGGCTAGAGTGAGTGCCGTGGCATCAGCCTACTCACAGCAACCTCAAACTCCTGGCTGGAGTGATCCTTCTGCCTCAGCCTCCCAGGTAGCTGGGACTACAGGCATCGCCACCATGCCGCTAATTTTTATATATATATTAGTTGGCCAATTAATTTCTTTCTTATAATAGAGACGGGGTCTCGCTCTTGCTCAGGCTGGTTTGAACTCCTGACCTGAGCAATCCGCCGCCTCGGCCTCCAAGAGCTAGGATTACAGGGCGTGAGCCAACGCGCCCGCCAAGTCCTACATCCTTTAATTGGGAAATTTAATCTGGTTCATTCAGATTATTATTGGTAAATGAGGATTATTCCTGTTATTCTGTTAAATTGTTTCTAGCATTTTGCATATCTCTTGTTTTTTCCTCCTCTCTTAATGTTTATTCTTTGTGATTTTGGTTTTCTGTAATAATAAGATTAGATCCTTTCTCTCTATTATTGTGTCTCTGCTTGTGCCAGTGAGTTTTATACTTTTCACGTTTTTATGATGTAGTTATCATCCTTTCACTTCCAGATGTTGGATTTTTATAAGCATTTCTTGTAAGACTAGGTCAAGTGGAGATTGAATTCCTCAGCCTCAATCTTTGCTTGTCGGGAAAGACTTTATTTTTCCTTTGTTTCTGAAGGATAGTTTTGCTGGACATAGTTTCTTGGTTGGCAATGTTTTTTTTTTCTTTCAGCACTTTGAAGATATCTCATTCTTTCTCTGGCCTGTAAAGTTCCTGCTAAGAAATCTGCTATTAGTCTAATGGGAATTCCTTTATATGTGACATGATGGTTTTCTCTGCTGTTTTTGAATTCTCTCTTTGTCTTTGACTTTTGATAGTTTGACTATAATATGCTCAGAGAGGACATTTTTGGGTTGAATCTATCCACTCTAGGGAAAACATATCATGCATTAGGCTTTGAGGGAAGAGAAACAGCTTTCTTCATTCTGCTACCCTGAAGTATTGAAACTGGCAGGTGGCAGCAACTATCTCCAAAGAAATATATTAAGAAACACACAGACACACAAGCACACACACATTCTTTACTTTGCGCAAATAAGATCATAGTCCTCTGCAATTAGTGTTTTCTCTTACAAACTTCAGACATTGTTTCAGATTAACACATATGGATCTAATTGTACTGTAGTCTTTTCTTGGGGTTTATTTAATTTCAGTAATGGACAAGAGAAACAAAAACCACAACACACATAGAAAGTAAATAATGAGACCCGGGCGCAGTGGCTCACGCCTATAATCCTAGCTCTCTAGAAGGCGGGGGTGGGCAGATTGTTTGAGCACAGGAATTCGAGACCAGCCTGAGCAAGAGCCAGACCCCATCCCTACTAAAACAAAATAGAAAATAAATTAGCTTGACAACTAAAATATATAGAAAAAAAGCCAAGCATGGTGGCACATGCCTATAGTCCCAGCTACTTACTTGGGAGGCTTGAGCCCAGGAGTTTGAGGTTGCTGTGAGCTAGGCTGACGCCATGGCACTCTAGCCCAGGCAACAGAGTGAGACTCTGTCTCAAAAAAAAAAAAAAAGAAAGAAAGAAAGAAAGAAAGAAAGAAAGAAAGAAAGAAAGAAAGAAAGAAAGCAAATAGCAAAATGTCAGACATAAATCCTACCTTATCAGTAATTACATTAAATGTCAATAGATTGAACTCTCCAATTAAAATATAGAAATTAGCAGAATAGATTAAAACATGATCAAGCTACATACTGTCAACAAAAGACACACTTTAGATTGAAAGACACAGATATATTGAAAGTAAAAGAATGAAAAAAGATATTTCATACAAACAGTAACCAAAACAAAGTTGGAGTTATTATATTAATAACAGACCAAATGGACATTTAAAGGATAACCAACACCAATCCTTCTAAAACTCTTCCAAGAAGAGAAAGAATGTCCCACTCATTCTTTGAGGCCAATATTACTCTAATACCAAAGATAATACATAAAATGATATCACAAGAAAACTACAGACCATTAGTCTGTAGACACATAAAGTCCATGTGTCTTTATGAATATAGACACAAAAATCCTCCACAAATTATAATACAAATCCCTTATATATAGAAAAAGTATTATACACCACAAAAAAGTGGGATTTATCCCAAGAAATGCAAAGTTCATTCAGTATCTGAAAATCAATGTAATGCACAATTTAATAAAGGATCAAAAGCATTTGATCAGTTCAACATAGGTGGAGAAGATATTTAACAAATTCCTTTATGATTTAAAAAAAAAACACTCAATAAACTACAAATAGAAGGGAATTTCCCCAACCTGATAAAGGACATCTATGAAAAACCCACAGCTAATATCACACAAAATGATGAAAGACTTAGTTTTCCCTCTAAGATCACAAACAAGACAAGGATGTCTGCTTTTGCCAATGTCATTCAACATTGTACTTGTATACAGAGAATACTAAGAAATTGACCAAACTATTAGAGCTAATGAACAATATTTCAGTATTTCAAGATATGAGATCAAAACATAAACATCAATTTTATTTCTATGCACTAGCAATTAACAATTCAGAAAGGAAATTAAGAATATTCCATTTGCAATAGTATGAAAAGAATAAAATACTTAAGGAATAAATTTAATAAAGAAGAACAAAACTTATATACTAAAGATTACAAAATATTATTGAATAAAATTAAAGAAGATCTAAATAAATGAATAGATAGCCTATGTGCATGGATCGGAAGACTTGGTATTATTATTATTATTGTTATTTTTATTTCGCATATTACAGGGGTACAAATGTAAGACTTGGTATTATTAAGTTCCTAGATTAATCTACAGATTTAGTGCAATCACTATAAAAATTCCAACTGCCATTTTTGTAGAAATTGACAAGCTGATGGTATTAATAAAATTAATCTAAAAATGCAGGAACCAGGAATAACTAAAACACTTTTGTAAAGAAAGAACAAATTTGGAGGACTCACAATTCCCAATTTCAAAAGTTATTGCAAAGCTTCAGTAATCAAAACAGTGAGGTACAAACATAAAATAGACATAGATCAATGGAATAGAATTTAAGGTCCGGAAATAAGCACATACATCTATGTTTAATTTATTTCAGTAAGGACACCAAGGCCATTTGATGCAGAGAGAATAGTCTTTTCAACAAATTGTGCTGAGACAACTGGATATCTACATCCAAAATAGTGAAGTCAGACACCAAGTCATTTTTGTATATGACTTCCACCATACACAAAAATTAATTCAAAATGGATTGAAGACTTACATGTAAGAGCTAAAACGACAAAATTTCTTTTTTAAATGCAGAAGTGTAAATCTTCGTCACCTTGGATTCAGTGACGGATTCTTAGATATGACCCCTAGCGCATAAAGAGAGACAAAATAGATAAACTGGACTTCATCAAAATTAAAAACTTTTCTGCATCAAAGGTCACTTCAATTAATTAAGAAAGTGAAAAGACAATCCACAGAATGGGAGAAAATATCTGGAAGTCATGCATCTGATAAAGGTTCTGTAATCCAGAATACATAAAAAATTCTTACAACTCAACAATAAAAAAGACAACCCAATTTTAAAGCATGAGCAAAGGATCTAAGTAGATATTTCTTCAAAGAGAATATGCAAATGGTCAATAAACACATGAAAAGTGGCACAAGGTCATTAGCCATCAGAAAAATGCAAACCCACGCCAGAAAGAAGTACCATGTCACATCCACTAGGATGGCTCTAGCCAAAAAGATGGACAATAAGTGTTGGAGGGCAGGTGAACAAATTGGAGACTTCATGCATGGCTACTGAAGTGAAAATTGTAACATCATCGAAAAATGGTTTGACAATTCCTCAAAATGTGAACAGTAAAGTTACCTTATGACCCAGCAATTCCACTCCTAGGTATATACCCAAAGTAATTGCAAATGTGTTCAAACAAAAAGCTGTATAGGAACGTTTATAGCAGCATTGTTAATAATAGCCGAAAGGTAGAAACAACATAAATGTTTATTGGTGCATGGATAAACAAAATGTGGCATATCCATAGAGTGGGTATTATTTAGCCATAAAGAGGAATGAAGCACAGACAGACGCTACAACATAGATGAACCTTGGAAATATTGTACGAAATGAAACAAGAGATACACAGAAGGCAACATATTGTATGATTCCATTTATAGGAAATGTGCAGAATAGGCAAATCCTTAGAGGCAGAGAGTAGATTAATCATTGCCAGGGTCTAGTGGGAAGGAGTGACTGCAAGTGGGCATGGGGTTTCTTTTTTGAGTGATGGAAATATTCTGGAATTAGATCATGGTGATGGTCACATAACTTGTAAATATACTAAACAGTTGGAGGCTGAGGGCGAGCTCCTCTGTCGGTTGGAAACTCTCTTTGTTGCACAAAGTGAATTGTATGAGTCTCTAGAAGATGTAAGAGGAGGCTTCAGTGCTGCCCGGTGGATTCAAAGGGAGCTAAGGATGAGACAGGGCAGAAGACCCCCTAGATGAACTCTCAGAAAATTTCAGCTGGAAACAGAGACCTAAGGGGGACAAAAAGATGGATGAAGGGAATGCCAAGAGAAATTCATCAAAATGTCCTTGTATTTCCAGTTTCTGAGGACCTGGCTTTCCTCCGCCTGTTGTCTTTCTAGTAGGAGGCTATCAGGGACAGTGATGCCAGGAGACAACCCAGTGTATGCTCCTGTAGTCACCAGAAGGGGTCCCAGGAGGTCTTCAAATGCCCCCGGATGGGAAGTCCTGACCATCAAGGGCTCTTCCAGGACCTCCATCTCCCTCCATTAAACTCCCACGATCCCAACCCTGCAACAATCCAGGCATCGTGGTCCTGTCTGGAAAAAGGGTCATGCCCTAATCCACGCTGGCTCAGTCGACCCAGCACATCTGGGACCTACGTGAGCGTGCTTTGGTGCCGTCTCTTTCATCAGACTATTCTCGCAGAAAGATCGTGAGCTCCCAGGGCAAGACAAAACAAAACGAAATTATCTGCCAACAGTATCTAACTCACTGGGTACAGAGACAATAACTGCGGCAACTCAGGCAGGGCCCCTGGCAGAGTGACCAGTGTGGGTAAAACTCAGTCTGTGCTGGGAATGTCCACACTTACGGGGTGACAGTCCCCAGCTCCCCACATGCCAGTCTAGCGCCCAACCTCGATGAGGGGGAGCAAGTGTCCTCTGGCTTGTGAGTCCTGGGGGAGTTCACACTATGCACCTGTGAAATTCCTAGCTCTAGAGTCTTCTGAAACCAACCCCTGGTGTGTTACTGTTGCTTTTGAGTTGACTAAATCCGGAGGACCTGTTGGGTGGGTGCTGGAGTTGTCATTCGCTGACCTGGGAGGAACTGATTCCGAGCAAATAAAGACTCCAGCTTCAATAAACACTCATCTAAAACAACTTTGGCCAAAATGATCATGGTTATCTGAAGGGTGGTGTTAATATAAAAATTGCAAATATGAATATAGACATACAAAACTGGACACCTCACATGTGGCCTGAACTAAAGGCACTCAGCCCTCTGCAAAGTTGACTCAGGTCTCTTCTCTGCTTGAGCTGGGACTCTAACTCCAAGCCACAAGGCCACGCAACCCTGCTTGAGACCTGAAGGGACACACAAGGTATGGGCTTCACACTGCCCAAAGCCACAAGCCAGGAGCCAGGCCTGGAGGGACCTTTAGGGAGGACCTTTGAGGTCTGCCAGAGAGCAACTATGGCAAGTGACCACTGCAGGGACACTCACCACTAGCCGCATCTGCTTCCACCACAAAGCCTTGTCCAGGCAACCCGACAGTACCATCCCTGGGGCTGTGCCCACTGCCATGGCTCCGTCTGCCCCGAGCCCTGCAGACATCCACAGGATAAAAAGGAATCTGCCTGAAATCTTATCTGGCCAACTTCCTGATCCTAACAGCAACAGGGGTACAGAAGACAGGACAACACAGAGCACAGGGCCAGGTGGCCCTTCCCTGTAGGGTCCTCTAGGAGCACACAGGCCATCTGAAGACACTGGTTCCAGGTGCATATGAGCCAGGGAACAGAGCACCGGGCTAACCCAGAGACTCACCGGGACGTGAGCACATGCCACTGATGTGGAGGAAACCAGAGTCCTGCAGAGAGCTGTTCCATACCCTTCCATGTCCTGCCCAGGAGTAATGGAGAGTGCACTGGTGGCCCTGCTGCAGCTGTCATGGGGCCCACACCCTTCTACATGTCCACTGTGGTCCAGGTGGACAGGTCATTCCTGAACAGGACGTTATAGAGCCCCGGGAGGTGAGAGGCTATGCATGGCAGGGACATGGGCTGGTGTCCTTGAGCAGAAGGGCCTTGATGGCTCCAGGTTGGTTTCTAAGCCTGCAACCCTTCCCCAAATGAGGAGTATTTCTGACCAAAAAAAGACTGTTCTCAGGCTGGCAGAGCCTGATGCCAGCCACCCCTTCTCTCTACCACCAGAGGGGTGGCCAGCCATCCTTTTCCCTCCCACAGCAAGGACAACAGCCATGGCACACCAAAGCAGGACAGGGGAAAGACAGAATGTTCACACACACTGACATACACCCTAAATTTCAGCCCATGTACAACTGGGCTCTGCTCCTCATCAATAACGATGACCCTGCAATGAGCCTCAGTTCTTAGACCTGTATAATGGGCATAAAGACAGCTAGCTGACCGACATTGGTCGTGTACACTGCATGGGATAGCATTTGTGTGCATTATCCATTCCCCCTAAGAAAAGGATGGAGCACTCCCTGGGACAAGAGGGGGCAGGGCACACCAAGGCCCCAGGAATCCTGGTCAGATTGGCATAGGAACATCTGTCTCAGCTGGACTGTCCTGATTCAGAGACATGGGATGCTGGGGAACGGGGCCTTGATCTCCTGGGGGCTCTGAATGGGCTCCTGTACCCATGGCCAGGGATGGAGGCCTCTGAGCCCTTGTTCCCCAGGGGAACACCCAGGGCTCCCAAGAGGGCCCTGCTGCAGCTGTCATGGGGCCCGCACCCTCCTACACATCCACTGTAGTCCAGGTGGAGAGGTCAGCGCTGAACAGGGCATCATAGAGCCCCAGGAGGGCTCTGTCCACAGGGAATGTGTGGGTCAGCTCTGCCCTCTGCTGGCTGCATGAAAAACTGCAGCCAGCTGAAGGGCTGTGCAGACACGTTCATATTCATTCTGCATTCAGGGAGGCTACTTCGTGTCCCGTGCCATGATAGCACAGGAGGCACGATTTTAATTCTCTGAGCCTCCCAGGTTGCAGCCATGCGAACTCTCCGCTACTGCTCCTGATGCTGATAGGAGTAGCATCTTCCCCCTGTGTGCCTCCCTTTGTCAGGGGTCTTCTGGCTAAATGTCCCATCCCCACGTATCCACAGAGGCCAGTCAAGCGCTGTGTCCCAGAGAAGCCCAGTGTGAACCGCTATGCATCTCTGAGCACCTGCTAGATGCTAGGCACTAGCTATGCCCTGTATGTTTACAGTATCCTTCCCAGGCTCACTGCAAGGCAGGGTCCGTCTTCCTCCGTTCAGGTTTCGCTGAAGACCCCAGGGCATCCTCTGCCCGCAGTGGCCACAGCTGTGGATCGGGCTGCGCTCAGGCTCAGCCTGGCCTCTCACTCTACAAGGTGAACCTAGTCAGGCCTCATGTCCCAGGACTGCTCACCGGATCACCCTGGGGCTCAGCCTTGCTCTCTGTCCACAGGGCGCCCACACCCAGCCCCAGACATGCTTGATCCTGGCTTGGCCAGGCTGCTGGGCACCGCACCTCGCACACCCCAACCCCGAGTCCCTAGTCTGCAGATGCCCCAGAGCTTGGCGCAGGCTGCCCCGAGGCACTCAGAATACGAATTGCATGGATGGTAGTGACACTGGGGCAGGCTCCTTGCCCCAGATGAAGAGTCTGAGGGCCCCAGTGGCACAGATGCCTTGATAAGGTGGAGCAGAACTGAAGAATCCCAGCCTCTGTAGACCTTCTGCCACCCTGGGCAGCCGAGCTCAGCCCAGCCCTGGCCAGGACCCTGACAGCCAGAGGGCAGCAGCCCTGCTGGGCTCAGACCACCAGCTACCTCCCCTCCATGAGGTACTGCACCACGGCCAAGCCATTCTTCTACATTTCTGGAGGCTGACAAGTAACCTTCTCCGCTGTCTTATCACCAAGCTGCACAGAAGCACTGGCAGAGAGGAAGTGTTCTGATATTTCAGATGTCTCTGGTGGCTGAGCTGCTTGCTCCCAGATAGTAAGTAGCACAGCTTAGGAAATAGTGGACTGTGTCATCAAATTAAAACAAACTTTTTATGTTTTCTAGAAATTATAGAAATTATTATAGAAATTATAATAACTATAATTATATTAAAATTATAATTATATTATATAATTATATGTAATATAATTATAATTTTAATATAATTATATAATATATAATTATATAATTATAATTGTTATATTAATATAATATATTCTATAATATAATATAACATAATATATAACATAATATATTAATACTTATGATTATATTACAATAATTATAGAAATTCTAGAAATTATTTTTATGTTTTCTAGAAATTATAATAAGAATAATTAAATAACCACTATTTACTAAATTTTATCCATAAGTTTATACTACTATTGAGGTGTAATTTGAGTAAAATACATATTTTTAAAAGTTTGTTTTTTTTTAAAAAACAGGTGTAATCAATTATACAGGGCCGCATGGTGATTAGGGATTTGGACTAGCAGGTCAGGTGGAGGCTCACTGAAGTCGGGAGGTAGCTCATTTCCATTTTCTGGGTGGGGGTGTCTAGCCCCCGAGGAAGGACGAGGAAGACAGTGACCCCTTCACAGAAGCCAGCCCAGGAGTTCACCCAGGCTTCCGGGAGAAGGGGGTGGGAGGCAGGGTGGTTCCTTGCCATGAACTTCCATATTTCACTAGAAAATTGGGCTTTGAGAACGGCGGAGGAGGAGGGCAGAGGAAAACCTAGGGGCCAGGGAGGGGTATGAAGGGAGGGGTGAAGCCCTTTGGTTTCAGGGGAGGCTGCATCCCATGCCCAGAGGTCAGAGGGCACATGCTCCATCTGGATCATTAGCTGCGTGAGGACCCACATCTAGACGCTCAGGGTAATCTCTGTTTCCATCTTCTTTGGCTCAGGTCTGCAGCTCCTGTCTAGACATGACGAAGCTTCTCATTGCTCCCAACCAACCATCATGAGCCTTTAGTTCAAGGGGCAGAATCTGGCTCTGAGAAGAAGAAATGGTTCTCTCCAGGTTTCTTTCAAGAGCCTTGAATCACTTTCTGTAGCTGCAGATCACAGGTGGGACCTGCCCAGGGCTCCAGGTACTCCTGGGCTTTTGTCTCATCCACAGGTCTTTCTTTCCTGGGTTCAACAAGTCTGTCAAAACAAGAAAACCATCTCCATGCCCCGTACCATGACACTGTTACCACCTCCCAGGGAGATCCACGGAGAGCAAGACTTGCTCTCACATCAGAAGTTTCTTCTACCAAGAAACTCCACTGTGTCTCCTGGGTTCAACAATTTGACAGCTTCTGGCCGGCTGAAACTCCTGCCTAGTTTCCCAGGCCATTGCAGTGCCCCCTGCAGCCACCCTGGCCAGCTGGGCCAAACTCTGAGGTCACTGACCCGGGTTCTGCCCAGAACTGCACCTGTGCCTGGTACCCAGGTCCCACCACCACTAGAGAGGGGCAGGGGGACAGCAACAATAAAGTCACATCCTCACCCTGCCCTCTAGCGAACCCATTTCTTCTGTGGTCCCTTTCTTTCCTTCCCTCCTTCCCTCCTCCCTCCCTCCTTCCCTCCTCCCTCCCTTCCTTCCTTCTTTCCTTCTGAGTGAGGTAGAAATATGCGACTGGAGATGAGAACGAGTAGAAAACCAAAGACAGAGGAGAGTAAAGAATGTTCAGAGTGGCCTCTCTGAGCTCGGTGCAGGGGGGAGGAGAGGCCTGGCCTTACCTGCTGGGAGGGGCTGAGTGGCTCTGTTGGGGATTGAGGTCAGCTGGGTGGGGTCGGCTCCCTAAGGCTGCCACCGGACTTCCCTTAGCCCAAGGATGAGGATAGAACAGACTTAGATCACCTACACATGTCAAGAGGCCTCCACCCCCCCCCACCTTCTGTTAAGAGGAGAGACAGAGGTACCATGATGGGGTGGCCTAAAGAGGGGCACAGAGGCCTCGAGGTGGGGGGCAGGGCCAGGGGCTGATGAAGGAGCTGGGGAAGTGGTGACCCCCGCTCTTCCCAGAGGGGCCTCTAGGAAGCCGGGAGCCAAGGGCTGCCCCTCCTGCTGGAGAAGGCACACAGTTCAGAACTAGAGGAGAGGCTGGATCCCAGGACCTCACACCCCTGGGCACTGTCCCCTCAGAGCAGTAGGGGCCCGGCCCTGTGTGTGTGGTGGTGGTTGGGGGGGGACGTGTCCACTATCCCAGTGGAGTGGAGGGAGCTCCAGCCGGCTTACACCTTTGGTTCCCATCCTGCCCTAGGACTGGGTCTGCTCTTTACTGAGTGGGTGGTCCTCAGAAGTGCCTTCACCTGCCTGAGCCTCAGTTTCCTCCTGGTCACTTGGGGATGTGAATAGCCTCTGGGGAAGGGAATTTCTATTCTCTTAGGCTGCTGCAATTGTCTCAGCATTTGCAACCTTGGCTTGTAAAGGAGGAGGCTCCTCCCAGGCAGCCCCAATGTCCCAGGGCGTTTCTTTGGGAGCTCCTGGAAACACCCTGGAGGTAGCCCCCTCAACCATGGGACAGGAGGATAGCCCTGCCCTTCTTGCCCATTTGGAGGCCAAGAACAGATGTGGCCTTTCCCAAGAGCTGTACAGCCCCCTCTGCTCCTGACCCTCCTCCTCTCCCCATCCACCTGCCTACCCCATCCATACAGCACACACCAACCTTGCCCTCCTGAGATCCTCAGGGCTGGATTCAGCCACCTGACCCACAGGCCCAGGAGCAAAGTGCTTCCTCTCTATCTTGGTGCCACCTCTGATCCAAGGGTCAAACCAGGCAAACATGACATCTTCATTTCAAGAAGAAAGAATCAAATTTCCCTACAGAAAGTTTGAACCAAGTTATATGCCACTAACTGTTTTTGGGGATGTCTATTTCCTTAAATCTTTGCCAGCCCTGGATTTTAAGATTTTTTTTCTCTTTCTTTCTTTCTTTCTTTCTTTCTTTCTTTCTTTCTTTCTTTCTTTCTTTCTTTCTTTCTTTCTTTCTTTCTTTCTTTCTTTTCCTTCCTTCCTTCCTTCCTTCCTTCCTTCCTTCCTTCCTTCCTTCTTCCTTCTTCCTTCCTTCCTTCCTTCCTTCCTTCCTTCCTTCCTTCCTTTTTCTTTCTTTCTTTCTTTTTTAGCTGTTTGCCAAAACACGACACTGCATTTTTAAAAAGTTTTTGAACATTTTTTTCTTGAAACATAAGTGCCATTGAGCAACATTTGTTTCTTATGACTTTCTTTTTCATTACATTTATTTATTCCTGTTCATATATTTTGTCCATTTCCTACTGGGATCTGTGTTGCTCTCTTGTTAGTCTGTGGTTCATCTAATTTGGATTGCAAATATTTTCCACTCCTCTATGTTGATTTTTGGCTTTTCCATAATGCTCAAGAATTTCATTGTTAAGAAATCAAATTTGGCAAGTGTTATGGATTGAAGGTTTGTGTCCTCCCAAATTTCATACATTGAAATCCTAACCTCCAATGTGATTGTATTAGGAGGTGGGGACTTTGGAAAATAATTACCCTCATGAATGGGATTGGCACCCTTATAAAAGGGACCCCAGAAAAGAATCCCTATTCAATAAATGGTGCTGGGAAATTGGATAGCCACATGTAGAAGACTGAAACAGGATCCACGCCTCTCACCACTCACAAAAGTAAATTCACCATGGATAACAGACTTAAACCTAAGGAATGAAACTATAAGAATTCTAGAAGAAAATGTTGGAAAAACTCTTCTAGATATTGGCCCAAGGCAAAGAATTTATGAAGAAGACACCAAAGCAACAACAAAAATTAACTAATGGGACTTGATTAAATTAAAAGGCTTCTGTATGGCCAAGGAAATAGTCAATAGAGTGAACAGACAACCTATAGAATGAGAGAAAATATTTGCATGCTATTATACAGCCAATAAAGGACTAATAACCAGAATGTACACAGAACTCAAATCAGTAAGAGAAAAAAAATCAAACAACTCCATAAAAAAGTGGGCAAAAGACATTAACAGAAGCTTTTCAAAAGAACATAGTCTACTGGCCAATAATCATGAAAAAATGCTCAAAGTCTCTAATCATCAGAAAAATGCAAATCAAAACCACAATGAGATATCACCTCACTTCAGTGAAAATGGCTTTTATCAAAAAGTCCCAAAAGAACAGATGTGGAGAGAAGGGAACACTCAAACACTGTTGGTGGGAGTGCAAACTAGTACAACCTCTATGGAAAATAGTGTGGAGATATCTCAAAGAACTATAAGTAGACCTACCATTTGATCCAGCAATCCCCCCACTGGGTATTTACCCAAAGGTGAAAAAATCATTGTATCAAAAAGACACCCACACTAGAGTATTTACTGAAGCACAATTCATAATCGCAAAGATGTGTTATCAACCCAAGTGACCATCAATACATGAGTAGATTAATAAAATGTGGTATATGTATGCATGGAGTACCACTCAGCCATAAAAAATGGTGAACTAATACCTTTTGTAACTACCTGGATGGAACTAGAGACCATTCTTTTAAACAAAGTATTGAGAATGGAAAAACAAATACCACATGTACTATTGAATTGGAATAAATTGATTAACACCCATGTGCACATATGGAAGTAAAACTCAATGGAAACCAAGTAGGTGGGAGGGGGGAGGAGGGGATTGATAAATTCGCACCTATGGGTACAATGTACACTATCTTGATGATGGGCACACATATAACTGTGACTCAAACTGCACAAAAATAAATCATGTAGCCAAAACGTTTGTACTCCCGTAATATTCTGAAATAATTAAAAAATGCTGAGTGATCATTGTATGTAAGTTTTCATAGTCACTGTGCTGCACTCTTAAAAAAAAAAACTGTTAAATGATTGGAATTTACATCTCTGGGCAGCCAAGCCAGGCAAGACCTACAGGAGGATAAGCAGGATCCTCGTATCTTGCAGAACCTCTTTGCTAGGAGGAGCTCGGGAGGCAGGAGGGATGGACACACCTACAACTCATTCTCTGCTGTGCTGCCTCAGGCACCTGCTCTGTGCTGGGCCCCGCACTGGAGCCAGGCATGAGATGGCACACAAAGCAGACAAGGCTGGACCTCGGGAGTGCCAGGTCCTACGGGGACAACAGGCTAAACAGGCAGGCACTGACATCCATAAAGGAGGGCAGCCTTCAAAGGGTAATTTTGTGTGATGATGGGTGTGTTGATAAATTTGATTATGATGATAACCCTGACACAATGTACACATATATTAAATCATCACGTCATACACCTTGAATATACACCTTGAATATATAACAGTCAATAATACTTGACTTTTATTTGTCAAGTATACCTCAGTGAAGCTGGAAAAAGAGAGTTTTCTTACTTGGGTTAATATATTTTCTTTAGTGTATGAGCTGTTGAATTGTTGCCATAACATCCTTATTAATAATAAAAATGTTTACTAAAAATAAAAGAATTAAACAACCTTCTATAACTCAGTACCAGATAAAGATGGTGTGGGTTCTATAACCTATGGAGGATGTTCGAGGGCATCTTTCTGGAGGTTGACTTGGAAGCTGAAACTAAAAACACTGAGGGGAACGGTGGGTATGGACGGAGCTGAGTGAGGGGGGTGGGCTCCAAGGCATGTTATCCATTGGCACATTTCGTTAAACACTGGGTAAGAAATGAAAGATGGAGTGGATTCGAAAAGAGAAGTTATCAAGCAAGGGGCTTTTCAGAAACACAGGAATTTCACCTGAAACCTACAGGGTGCGATAAATCATGTTCAAAGGTCCTGAGGCAGGAATGAGCTTGGCCTATTTGGAGAAGCCAAAGAAACCAGGCAGTCTGAAGTGTGGTGGGGTGGGGCAGCAGAGCCTGCAATGAATGAGGGGAGGGAGGTGCCCTGCACAGGCGCGCACGGCAGGGACCGGCAGGCACTTGGTTTTGATTGCACCTGGAATGCATGAGATGCACAAAAGGATCGCGATTGGGGTGGGGAAAATGTTCATACCTACTTTTTAAAATGACTGTGCCATTTCCCACACCATCAACAACCTCCACATGGTTGGATTCATGGGACACTCCTGGGCCTCACGTCATCTAACTCATCAGTGCCATTTCACACAGTTGACCCCTCCCTGGTTCTAGAAACAGCGTCTTCACCTGGCTTCCAAGGACACCCCTCCTGAGTTTCTGCCCACCCCGCTGGCCGCTCCCTCACAATCTCCTTGCCTCCTTCCACGTTTCCCTGACGTTGTGATGCTTGAGGGCTCCGTGGCGCAGTTGGTTCTCCTTGCTTTCACTCATTATGTTTTGCCTTTTATACCTGTAGGTTCCTTCCTCCACAGGCAAGTGTTCCAATGTGTTTCAGGAGTGTCTTTTTGTTCACATGTCCCATGTTGTGGCTTCACAAGGCACAGAATCTGTCTCAAACGAGACCATGAGACCCTCTGGCCTTTGGCTTCCTCCTCCTGTCCCCCACTCTGCACATCCCCAGGTCTTTGCTCACCTCTGCCCTCCTGGGCACCCCAGACCAGCCCCCTCAGCCTGAGAGGGACAGCTCCCCTCAGCCCGCCCGGGGGACGTTCCCCAGAGC